GGGGGGGGGGGGGGGGGGTGGGGGGGGGGGGGGGGGGGGGGGGGGGGGGGGGGGGGGGGGGGGGTGGGGGGGGGGGGGGGGGGGGGGGGGTGGGGGGGGGGGGGGGGGGGGGGGGGGGGGGGGGGGGGGGGGGGGGGGGGGGGTGGGGGGGGGGGGGGGGGGGGGGGGGGGGGGGGGGGGGGGGGGTGGGGGGGGGGGGGGGGGGGGGGGGGGGGGGGGGTGGGGGGGGGGGGGGGGGGGGGGGGGGGGGGGGGGGGGGGGGGGGGGGGGGGGGGGGGGGGGTGGGGGGGGGGGGGGGGGGGGGGGGGGGGGGGGGGGGGGGGGGGGGGGGTGGGGGGGGGGGGGGGGGGGGGGGGGGGGGGGGGGGGGGGGGGGGGGGGGGGGGGGGGGGGGGGGGGGGGGGGGGGGGGGGGGGGGGGGGGGGGGGGGGTGGGGGGGGGGGGGGGGGGGGGGGGGGGGGGGGGGGGGGGGGGGGGGGGGGGGGGGGGGGGGGGGGGGGGGGGGGGGGGGGGTGGGGGGGGGGGGTGGGGGGGGGGGGGGGGGGGGGGGGGGGGGGGGGGGGGGGGGGGGGGGGGGGGGGGGGGGGGGGGGGGGGGGGGGGGGGGGGGGGGGGGGGGGGGGGGGGGGGGGGTGGGGGGGGGGGGGGGGGGGGGGGGGGGGGGGGGGGGGGGGGGGGGGGGGGGGGGGGGGGGGTGGGGGGGGGGGGGGGGGGGGGGGGGGGGGGGGGGGGGGGGGGGGGGGGGGGGGGGGGGGGTGGGGGGGGGGGGGGGGGGGGGGGGGGGGGGGGGGGGGGGGGGGGGGGGTGGGGGGGGGGGGGGGGGGGGGGGGGGGGGGGGGGGGGGGGGGGGGGGGGGGGGGGGGGGGGGGGGGTGGGGGGGGGGGGGGGGGGGGGGGGGGGGGGGGGGGGGGGGGGGGGGGGGGGGGGGTGGGGGGGGGGGGGGGGGGGGGGGGGGGGGGGGGGGGGGGGGGGGGGGGGGGGGTGGGGGGGGTGGGGGGGGGGGGGGGGGGGGGGGGGGGGGGGGGGGGGGGGGGGGGGGGGGGGGGGGGGGGGGGGGGGGGGGGGGGGGGGGGGGGGGGGGGGGGGGGGGGGGGGGGGGGGGGGGGGGGGGGGGGGGGTGGGGGGGGGGGGGGGGGGGGGGGGGGGGGGGGGGGGGGGGGGGGGGGGGGGGGGGTGGGGGGGGGGGGGGGGGGGGGGGGGGGGGGGGGGGGGGGTGGGGGGGGGGGGGGGGGGGGGGGGGGGGGGGGGGGGGGGGGGGGGGGGGGGGGGGGGGGGGGGGGGGGGGGGTGGGGGGGGGGGGGGGGGGGGGGGGGGGGGGGGGGGGGGGGGGGGGGGGGGGGGGGGGGGGGGGGGGGGGGGGTGGGGGGGGGGGGGGGGGGGGGGGGGGGGGGGGGGGGGGGGGGGTGGGGGGGGGGGGGGGGGGGGGGGGGGGGGGGGGGGGGGGGGGGGGGGGGGGGGTGGGGGGGGGGGGGGGGGGGGGGGGGGGGGGGGGGTGGGGGGGGGGGGGGGGGGGGGGGGGGGGGGGGGGGGGGGGGGGGGGGGGGGGGGGGGGGGGGGGGGGGGGGGGGGGGGGGGGGGGGGGGGGGGGGGGGGGGGGGGGGGGGGGGGTGGGGGGGGGGGGGGGGGGGGGGGGGGGGGGGGGGGGGGGGGGGGGGGGGGGGGGGGGTGGGGGGGGGGGGGGGGGGGGGGGGGGGGGGGGGGGTGGGGGGGGGGGGGGGGGGGGGGGGGGGGTGGGGGGGGGGGGGGGGGGGGGGGGGGGGGGGGGGGGGGGGGGGGGGGGGGGGGGGGGGGGGGGGGGGGGGTGGGGGGGGGGGGGGGGGGGGGGGGGGGGGGGGGGGGGGGGGGGGGGGGGGGGGGGGGGGGGGGGGTGGGGGGGGGGGGGGGGGGGGGGGGGGGGGGGGGGGGGGGGGGGGGGGTGGGGGGGGGGGGGGGGGGGGGGGGGGGGGGGGGGGGGGGGGGGGGTGGGGGGGGGGGGGGGGGGGGGGGTGGGGGGGGGGGGGGGGGGGGGGGGGTGGAGGGTTGGGGTGCGCGGGGGGCGCGGGGCGGGGGGGTGGACGGGGGTCTGGGGGTCGGGGGGTTGGTGGGGGGAGTGGGAGGGGCGGCGATGGGGGCGGTGGGAGGCGTGGGGGGGTGTGCTAGAGCGGGGGGTGGCGGGGGGTGGCGGGGTGGGGGAGAGGGGTGTGGTGGCGGTATGGGGGCCGGAGGGCCGGGGGGGGTCGGCGGGGCGTGGGCGGTCGGGGGTGGGTGCCGGTGGTACGAGCGGCGGGGGGCCCGGGGGGGGCTCTTGTTGCGGCCCCTGAATGGAGGGGGTGGTTGGGGTTTCCGTTTTTTTTTTTTTTCCCTCGACCGCATTTTTTATTTTGGTTTCTTCTTGTTGTTGTTGAGAGAGATGATGTTCGGATCTTCCCTCAGACCGCCAGCGTCTGTACATGATGTTAATCTGATGAAGAGCTGCAGCTAATGGGCTGTGGTCGAGCGGTTTTCTCAAATTGTTCCTAGAAACTCCTCCTATAGTGTGTGTGTGTGTGTGTCTATTTATGTGTGTGTGTGTGTGTGTGTGTGTGTGGTGATCTCACATTACAGGCACAGAAGCCAGAAATTCCGACAAGTTACCCCCTATCTCTAGGCTAAGCAGGGCAGGGCTGTGTCTTTGGGCCAGACACTTCCCCCACATTAGGATGAGTCTGGCACAGAGCTGGTTGCCTCACTTCTGTCAGTGTGCCCCAGGGCAGCTGTGGCTACTATCTATTTATCATCACTGTGTTTGGAGTGAAAGAATAATGATGAGAAGTGTCTTTGAGAGTCCAGAAAATTGCTATTATATTATTATTACCACTGTCCAATCCAAAAGCAAACTATTTTCTTGCTAGGACATGGACAGAGCCATTTCTGCTTTTTAAAACTTCTCTAAATTAGTTTTTATGAACTCGTTTGAAAATAAATTGGGTATAGCGTCTTTAATTACCACATGTTTTGATGTCTCATGTCTCTTATCAGCTGTTGTTGTCGGATGTGGTGAGTCTGACGGATCTGATCCCTCAGACTGACCACGCCCCCTCAGACTTACCACGCCCCCTCAGACTGACCACGCCCCCTCAGACTGACCACACCCCCTCAGACTGACCACGTCCGCTCAGACTGACCACACCCCCTCAGACTGACCACATCCTCTCAGACTGACCACACCCCCTCAGATTGACCACGCCCCCTCAGACTGACCACGTCCTCTCAGACTGACCACGTCCTCTCAGACTGACCACACCCCCTCAACTGACCATGTTCTCTCAGACTGACCACGCCCCTCAGACTGACCACGCCCCCTCAGACTGACCACGCCCCCTCAGACTGACCACACCCCCTCAGACTGACCACGTCCGCTCAGACTGACCACACCCCCTTCAGACTGACCATGTCCTCTCAGACTGACCACGCCCCCTCAGACTGACCACGCCCCCTCAGACTGACCACGTCCCCTCAGACTGACCACGCCCCCTCAGACTGACCACGCCCCCTCAGACTGACCACATCCTCTCAGACTGACCACACCCCCTCAGACTAACCACGTCCTCTCAGACTGACCACGCCCCCTCAGACTGACCACGCCCCCTCAGACTGACCACGCCCCCTCAGACTAACCACGTCCCTCAGACTGACCACGTCCTCTCAGACTGACCACACCCCCTCAGACTGACCACGTCCTCTCAGACTGACCACACCCCTCAGACTGACCACGTCCTCTCAGACTGACCACGCCCCCTCAGACTGACCACACCCCCTCAGACTGACCACGTCCTCTCAGACTGACCACGTCCCCTCAGACTGACCACGCCCCCTCAGACTGATCACGCCCCCTCAGACTGACCACGCCCCCTCAGACTGACCACGCCCCCTCAGACTGACCACATCCTCTCAGACTGACCACACCCCCTCAGACTGACCACACCCCTCAGACTGACCACGTCCTCTCAGACTGACCACGCCCCCTCAGACTGACCACACCCCCTCAGACTGACCACGTCCTCTCAGACTGACCACGTCCCCTCAGACTGACCACGCCCCCTCAGACTGATCACGCCCCCTCAGACTGACCACGCCCCCTCAGACTGACCACGCCCCCTCAGACTGACCACATCCTCTCAGACTGACCACACCCCCTCAGACTGACCACACCCCCTCAGACTGACCACGTCCCTCAGACTGACCACGCCCCCTCAGACTGACCACGTCCCCTCAGACTGACCACGCCCCCTCAGACTGACCACGCCCCCTCAGACTGACCACATCCTCTCAGACTGACCACACCCCCCTCAGACTGACCACACCCCCTCAGACTGACCACGTCCCCTCAGACTGACCACGCCCCCTCAGACTGACCACGCCCCCTCAGACTGACCACATCCCCTCAGACTGACCACGCCCCCTCAGACTGACCACGCCCCCTCAGACTGACCACGCCCCTCAGACTGACCACGCCCCCTCAGACTGACCACACCCCCTCAGACTGACCACGTCCTCTCAGACTGACCACGTCCTCTCACCCCCTCAGACTGACCACGTCCTCTCAGACTGACCACACCCCCTCAGACTGACCACGTCCTCTCAGACTGACCACTGCCCAAACATGTGGTAATGAAGCAATAGTAGCTTTCTTTACCTTTTTGTCTAAAGAAAGTGGCAAAAACTAGTTGGAGTTAGCGGGAGGGACAGCCCTACAGTCCCTCCCGTTAACTCCGATCTGCAGACTCACATCTCCTCACTCCCACTGTCAAATCCAAGCACCGAACCCTGGGGGACCGAGCATTCGCCATCTCGGCTCCCACTCTCTGGAACTCTCTCTCCCCTCACCTCTGCTTCTTTACTGTGTTTAGTTTTTTAGTTTTGTGTCTGTCTGAATTTGTGTGTCTGTGTCCTGAATTGTCTTTTTGGGTTTTTGAAAAGCGCTGTATAACCCCAATGTAATTTTGTTATTAATATTATTATTATTAAAAGAACCTTCTAAGCCTCACACCTGGTTCTCTCCCCGGGGCTTCTTATGGTTCAGCAGCAGCTCCACGGCCCCCACCACCTCCTTGCGGACGGCGTGCAGCAGGGCGTCCCCCACCCTCACGTTGAAGCTCAGCAGGAGCTCGATCATCTCCAGGTTCTCGTTCTCGATGGCGATGAGCAGCGCCGTCCTCCCCAGGGGGTCCACGCAGTTGATGTTGATGCGGAAGTAGATCTCGGCCTCCTCCAGGGCCTGGCGCACCGTGGCGTAGTCGCCCCGCTCCACTGCGCCCAGGTAGGCCTTCTCCAGCACCGACAGCTCGGCCTCGGCGCGGATCACTCGCAGCGGGATCCGGTCGCGGTACGACGTGGGGTCTACTTTACGGCAGAACAGGGACAT